AACAAATGAGTATTGCACCGGTATTCACATTTCTGTTAGCCCAGCAAATATGGAGGTGGAAGGAAACAAGACTCACATCATAGTACATGTAAAATGTATATTTTGCTTCCTTGCGATTCTTTTTGAAGTCTAAATGTCAAACGTCAAGCTCTGCTATATGGGCAGATTGCTTCTTGATGATTATGGGCGATATATTGCCACAAGACGGGGCCCTTACTGACCTGTCAGTGTTCTAGTTCATTTAATTATATATACATGCAAAAAAAAACATATATAATAGTTTGATAATATTTAAATATTTAGTTACATCATCCTAACCGTTTAGATGCAATAATGTACTTTTCAACATTAGACAATATCAATATATTTATTTCAGAAGCTAAGTCAGTAATTCCAGATGTCAAAAGATGAACATTTAAGTAGCCAACTCTGGTATAGATATCATGGATTAAGTTCCTGGAATTAGAGTAATTTGGACAAGTGAAGAAGAAGTGTTCAGAATTTTCAATTGGATGGCCGCAGGAACAGGAAGAATCAGGAGATAGATTGTCAGCAAATTTGTCATAATTTAAGTCGCTGGCATTATTTCTAAGGTGGCAGATCTAGGATAACATTTAACTTTCTAGCGCTACAATTTAGAAAAACAGGAGTAATATTCATATTGGATTTTAATATATGTAATGATGGTGCTGAGATTGTTTCAGAATCAAGAGAGTTCCATATTCTCATGACATCTGGAAAAACATTATTGCCAAATAAATTAGATCTAAAGCGAGGAATATTAAAAATTCTGTGTTGCCTAAGATTATGAGGTGGAACAGCATCATTAATATAAGGTTTAACAATGTCATATAAATATTCAGGTGTCGTATGATTTAGGATTTTAAACATTAAAATACGTTTGTGCTTATGACGCCTAGAAGAGAGCAGTTCAAACCCAGTTTCAGTATATAGTTCCTGATGTGATGTTCCACTTCGTCATCCAATTATTATTTCCATGGCCTCCATTTGTACAGATTCTAATATTTTAGCTTCACCAATAGTACAATTGTTCCAAATAACATCTGCATACTCAAGAATAGGTCTTACATAAGAACAATATAGTGTAATTAAAGCATTTCTGTCGACTTTGTATTTGAGTGATACGTAAAATATTCAATCTTTTGCATGCTTTTTCATAGATTTCTTGGATGTGATTACTCCATGAACCTTTGGAATTGAATAAAAGTGTTTATGATTAGTTATTTCATTTACTATTTGATTGTCAAAAGAGAAGTGGAGGATGATTACCGTTTTTTTTTGTAACAGTTAATGCAACAGTTTTATCTGGATTAAATTTAATTTTCCATTGGTAAGCCCAATTTCTAATCGAGTCCAGATCTTCATTTAGATCCATACACGGAACAACCGCATCTTCATCAACAATTACATGTAATGAGGTGTCATCAGCAAATAATTTAATATGAGTATGAATTTCATTAGTTATATCATTAATGAGCAGTAAGAGAAGAAAGGGGCCAAGTGTAGACCCTTGAGGAACACCGGCAGTAATATTTTTTGAAACTAGAAGAATATCTTTCATAAATCACTCTTTGTTTCCTATCCGACAAATCATTTTCAAACCAGTTATACAGATTCCCCTTAATTCCATATTTCTTAAGTTTATACAATAAACCTTTGTGCCATACTCTGTCAAAGGCCTTACTGATGTCACAAAATACCAGTCTAATGTCTTTTCCTTCAGCAAGATTTTTTGAGATAATATCATACAGGGATAGTAATTGGTTAACTAACAGTTCACTTATTATATGATGTTTAGTTACATGATTAAATACATACTTAAAGATGATTTTTTCTAGAATTTTAATAAAGCAAGAAAATATGGCAATAGGCCTATAGTTACTAGGATCTTCCATTCCTTCTTTACCTTTATATAGTGCATTTATATTAGACAATTTCCATGATAAGGGTATCTTTTTAAGAGTAATAGTTTTTTGAAACAATATTTTTAGTGGTTTGTTTGTTTGTTTGTTTGATTTTGTTTAACGTCCTATTAACAGCTAAGGTCATTTAAGGACGGCCTCCCCTGTGTGCAAGATGCATGCGTGTAGTGTATGTGTGTGTATTTTGGGAGGCTGCGATATGTTCGTGTTTGTCTTCTTGTGATAGCGCGGAACTGATGCCGACTTTATAGTGCTACCTCACTGAAACATACTGCCGAAGACACCCAGCAGGACGCCCCACCCGGTCACATTATACTGACAACGGGCGAACCAGTCGTCCCACTCCTAATTTGCTGAGCGTTAAGCAGGAGTAGAAACTACCATTTTTAAAGACTTTGGTATGTCTCGGCCAGGGGACAGAACCCAAAGCCTTCCTCACAGGGGCGAACGCTCAACAAATGGCCAAAAGTGAGGCATTGTCAAGGGAGACATTAGGAAGAAGAAAGTTATTTAGAAAGGAGAGAAGAGATAAGGTCCCAAATTTAGTCGCCTCTTACGATCATGCAATTGGGGGCAGCAGGTACAATTCTTACGCCCTACCTGCAGGGTCCATTTAGTGGTAACACAAGGGAGGATAGGAGATTTTTTACAATAATGAGTGACATATTATCTGGACCAGCTGGTTTCTTGACTTTTATGATTGATATTTGATCCCTATCATCATCTTCTGTAATGATAATATTATTAAAATCAAGATGACTAAGGGGAGGTAATTCTGTATCTTAAGTGTTAGTACTATCATCAAGAGTTAGAAATGGAAGCAAAAAAAATAATTAAGTGCTTCTCCTTTGTCAATAGAATGAATCATAACATTACATGCACCAACTTGTAGGGGATGAGACACATTAGTAGATTTAGACATGTTACTTATTGATTTGGCTATACGCCACCACTTACCTGGAGGTACTGTCTTATCTGATAAGGAATTCTGTAATTTCTTAAGGTAATCGTATTTTGCTTTTCTGATTAAGTCAATGCTTTCATTACGTTTATTTCTAAATTTGAGCCAGTCACTATCCTTATTAGTATTTTTTGCTTTTCTATGTGATCTGTTTTTCTTTCTCAAATTAGACCTTATTAAATTTGTCATCCAGGGTTTATCATTCGGACAGATTCTAATCGTCTTGAAGGGGATGTGAACATCAGTCAGTGTTTTTATTGTATCAATAATTAAGTTATTTCTTTCATCAACATCATTATTTTCACCTATAGTTAATTCCCAGTCCTCAGAATGAAGACTTTTATTAATTAGGTCCCATCTGGCTTCCTTAAATTTGTAAATAGTTTCTTGAAAGATCTCTCTTTGATCACTTTAAAACTTCAGTTTAAAACAATTGGACAATGATCACTACATAATGGAGCCAATGCTTCAGTACTCTGTCCAATGTTCAAGTTATTAACATAAAATAGATCTATACGGGATGAGGTTGTATTGGTAATTCGTGTAGGGGATTGAACAACATTATTTAGGTGATATTTGGTAAGAGTTCTAGCAAGAAGAGAGTTAGGATGTAGAGTAAGCATGTCCTGATTGATATCACCTGTGATAACTAGATTGGAATTTTTATTAATAGGTTGTCATCAAGATCATCAAACTTTTGCCAATAATCTACACGAGAGTCAGGAGGTCTACAAATACAGCATTATAAAAAACATTTGTTTGAAGTTCTTATTTCTAAAACTATGTTTTCTAGCTCTTTGTGTTCGATGTCACAAATTGATGTTACTTTAGTTAATGAGCTCAAGATATTCATAAATGCCGTTTTCACCTATACGCCGCTCTAGTGGCAGGGGATGAGCCGGTTTGGTTTGGTTTGGTTTTTATTTTGTTTAACGTCCTATTAACAGCTCATTAAAATAACAAATCCTTACTAAAAAACTCTTAAAATAGAAACGACCGCCATGTTAGATCACGCGTGATGTTATCTCAATTACCCGTTTCCTTATGTAAAAGGATCGTTTTTTCACTTCATAACCAACACCCAGGTTCAGTGATCTTGGGTCCGTCAGGGTATTACAGTCTGATATGATTGAAGTTTGGCAAATAAACACAGATACCGGGACTTAAATACCAATTAATTTTCTATTTCAATTTCCTCTCGACATTGTTTCACTATATGCAATGCATTCTTTATGTGAAGTACATGTATTTGCCATTGGAAATGGACAAACCCTCTGTCTTTTTATGCTAAGGGCAGTTCCAGAATTAACAATAGGGTAGGGGTGGGAGGCACTTTTTCAGAGACCCCATCACCAATTAAATCTTACAAGTGATTTAATATGCGGAATGGTAGCTATAGGCAGATCTTGTTTTGACCCCTTATACATTAACAGGTGCCTCCCATCTCCCCCATACAGTATAATATGGAATAGCCCTTAACTGTTCTGAAGAGTCAAAACCATGAACAAACAATATTTTCAGTCTAGTAAATTGTTATGTATAATATAATAATAGAATCCATCCCCGATGTGAGGTAGGGATAAGGTTATTCAAACCCAAGGGATAAAATATTGAGCAGGAGACCCGAGGCTTTGCCGAGAGTTTTTGCTCAATATTTTGTCCCGAGGCTTTGAATTACCTTATCATAATACCTCAAATAAGGGATGGATTCTATTTCTTGCTTATTACCTAAAACCTGTAAAAACAGCTGTTTTTCTAGTAAAGTTGTAAACTGTCCCCACATTTCTCATTTACATTTGAAGCCTGGATGGCAATTGTTAGTGACGTCAATGACCCTGACTGACCACAAAAGGTCATAAAATGATGTCACGAACAATAGCGTGACCTTCCAAAAGGTCACTATAATTTCCCCAACAGTCTGCACGTGTAATCGATCTAGACCCGTGGGTGGGATAGAATTTTCCAGCACCGCCGGAAATGCGGATATCTCAGTCTAGTATGCAAGAAAATGAAATATCATTGTTTTATGGAAACCTTTACGAACCAAATATCCGAGTGCTTCTTGATTCAAAATTTTTTATGTATCGCCATGAAAAAAATAGAGAACACATTATCTTGATGTATGAAAAATATATATATCTATTGCACAAATTTACAAAAATATGTCACAAGATTTACAATGGGCATTGAATCATTTTCACAGAATGGAACTCAGGAAAGGCACACCTTGTATTTCTGAACTCTGACATGTTATTCTATAGAGTCTGTTGCCATGGTACCAGATTTGTCCTTGACCTGCATGGCTTTGACCTTGGCGACTAAATCCAACACTTTCTGGGATGTGAACATAAGACAGTCCTTTACATCTGAAACTAGGAAAACAAAAAAGTTATTATAACATTTTTTGAAGACACAAACTTTAATGCTTGCAGTACAGTCCTTCCCAGCATCGATTAACTGTTCCAGCAACAAAAGCGGTTCCTCTCCACATGCACTCCATACACTTTATAAACCTCACTTGAACCAGTTCATAAATCAGGGATGTGAGTTTGCACTTTGTCCATACACCTCATATGATCACAAGAATTTAACACTTGATCATGATACATTTATCTATAATTTTGGCAAATACAGTGAATGCTTAATCGTTCAAAATTATGATTCAGAAACATGGGACAGATAAATATCATACTGTTCTCCAGTTTCATCAATTAACACACAAAAATAGGACTCAATTTTGTTTGTAAATCAGCAATCAAATGTATCAAGATTCAGAATTATCTAAAGGAAGATTTTACTTAAGTTTTAGTCTTGAAAGGTGAGACATATTGCACAACGATGTAGATGAGGTTATGAATAGTCTCCATTTGAAAGTCTTGCTGAGAAGTGAAACATTTCAGGATTAAAGGCTGACGAACTTGCAAACGTTAATGTTGAAATTGAAATTCTTTTTCTAGGCTCCCAAAGAAGTTAATAGGCTCCCCAGAAAGTACTAGGCTCCCAAAGAAGTTAATAGGCTCCCCAGAAAGTACTAGGCTCCCAAAGAAGTTAATAGGCTCCCCAGAAAGTACTAGGCTCCCAAAGAAGTTAATAGGCTCCCCAGAAAGTACTAGGCTCCCAAAGAAGTTAATAGGCTCCCCAGAAAGTACTAGGCTCCCAAAGAAGTTAATAGGCTCCCCAGAAAGTACTAGGCTCCCAAAGAAGTTAATAGGCTCCCCAGAAAGTACTAGGCTCCCAAAGAAGTTAATAGGCTCCCCAGAAAGTACTAGGCTCCCAAAGAAGTTAATAGGCTCCCCAGAAAGTACTAGGCTCCCAAAGAAGTTAATAGGCTCCCCAGAAAGTACTAGGCTCCCAAAGAAGTTAATAGGCACCCCAGAAAGTACTAGGCTCCCAAAGAAGTTAATAGGCTCCCCAGAAAGTACTAGGCTCCCAAAGAAGTTAATAGGCTCCCACATCCCTATTTTATAAACATTAACAACTCCTAGTGCACCGGTCAAATATTTTGAGTACAATACATTAAAGTGGCAAGGGTGTACAATGTTCATTCTCCTAACCAACTCCCACTTTACACCAGCTCATTCTCAGACTTTCTGATCATAAATTTCATTTCTATTCAAAATACTTTTAAATGAGATATTTCTGTCTCCTAAAATTTGTCATACATGTTTTACTACAATGTTTGATGTGAGTCTGATCTCAATGACTAATAGAATCCTCCCTTACCTTGAGGGTGTGATAGAGAAATCTCCAACCCGAGGGTTGATGTTTTTTGGTTGTCAATCCGAGTCTCTGTCACACCCTCAAGGTAGGGGACGATTGTTTTTCTCTCATCCTATTATTTCAGTCACAACTCCACCGACAGTAGTGTAAACAAAAACACATGTGGGGTATGAATATCGTCATTCACTTTTAATGATGTCACAATTGAACATGTGCTAATCGGCATGAGGCTTTCTGCTGATCTTTCCCGGCTAAAACAGGAGACACACCTGTGAAGGGTAGGAGAAAAGGCCTTCTCTCTCCGACCACACACAGGCTGTCTGATCCCACTGACAACACTGTCTCTCTCTCCGACCACACACAGGCTGTCTGATCCCACTGACAACACCATCTCACTCTCCGACCACACACAGGCTGTCTTATCCCACTGACAACACTGTCTCTCTCTCCAACCACACACAGGCTGTCTGATCCCACTGACAACTGTCTCTCTCTCCGATCACACACAGGCTGTCTGATCCCACTGACAACACTGTCTCTCTCTCCGACCACACACAGGCTGTCTGATCCCACTGACAACACCGTCTCTCTCTCCGACCACACATAAAGGCTGTAGTATTAAAAACAAGCATTACTGCACATCCTGTCTCTGTAATGAGCTTAATAGTTATAATGAACCTATGAACTTCAAAAGATGCTTTTTTAAAGGTGAAAAAGCTTTACAAACCTCCCGACTCTGAATTGATGTCGTCCAGCCTCTGAAGTTGTTGCTGTGCCTGGTCAAAGCGAGCCTGGACATGATCAATCAAGGACATCTCCTGCTTCAGCTTGCTGTTAGCGTACTTCAACTGTTAGCACACCAAACAGGATACTATTAGCTATGGAATATTTTACAATTAGCACACTTCAACTGTTAGCACACCAAACAGGATACTATTAGCTATGGAATATTTTACAATTAGCACACTTCAACTGTTAGCACACCAAACAGGATACTATTAGCTATGGAATATTTTACAATTAGCACACTTCAACTGTTAGCACACCAAACAGGATACTATTAGCTATGGAATATTTTACAATTAGCACACTTCAACTGTTAGCACACCAAACAGGATACTATTAGCTATGGAATATTTTACAATTAGCACACTTCAACTGTTAGCACACCAAACAGGATACTATTAGCTATGGAATATTTTACAATTAGCACACTTCAACTGTTAGCACACCAAATAGGATACTACAGTACATTTCACCTAATATCACTTTATTTTGGCCACTGTCACAAAAAAATTACAGGTAAATGGTGGTAATGATTCATGATAAATGCCCCGGGGACCTTCTGTCACACCCTGGACGCGTTATGTAAACAACGCCTCGGCCCAACAGGGTATTTTTTACACCTGGCTGACAGTTAAACAATAGGTTACACCTGGCTGACAGTTAAACAATAGGTTGAATTACATACTTGTTAACATGATATTCACCTGTGGTTGGGGGAGCAAGGACAGTCTAACATCTGTAAACTTTTCTAATGCCAAGTGTGATGTAATCTTTCAACTAATTATAATATGTGTACTATCTTCGATTACACACTTGCAGCAAATATCTAAAGAAATTTAACTATAAAAAGATGTTACTAGCGAAAGAACAATATATATATAAAGATAAAGAGCCACATCACTTAGGCATTTGACTAAGTTCACTTCCGGTTTTGAGGGCTGAAAAACGTCAGAAAATATGTATTCTGTTAATGTCATGTTTCAGTTAATATCATGTTTTTCTCTGACAAATGGGAAGTGATATTAGGAGAAATCTACTGTATTAGCTATGGAATATTTTACAATTAGCACACTTCAACTGTTAGCAAACCAAATAGGATACTATTAGCTATGGAATTTTTTACAATTAGCACACTTCAACTGTTAGCAAACCAAATAGGATACTATTAGCTATGGAATTTTTTACAATTAGCACACTTCAACTGTTAGCAAACCAAATAGGATACTAGTAGCTATGGAATATTTTACAATTAGCACACTTCAACTGTTAGCAAACCAAATAGGATACTATTAGCTATGGAATTTTTTACAATTAGCACACTTCAACTGTTAGCACACCAAACAGGATACTATTAACTATGGAATATTTTACAATTAGCACACTTCAACTGTTAGCAAACCAAATAGGATACTATTAGCTATGGAATTTTTTACAATTAGCACACTTCAACTGTTAGCACACCAAACAGTATACTATTAGCTATGGAATATTTTACAATTAGCACACCAAACAGGATACTATTAGCTATGGAATATTTTACAATTAGTACACTTCAACTGTTAGCACACCAAACAGGATATTATTAACTATGGAATATTTTACAATTAGCACACTTCAACTGTTAGCACACCAAACAGTATACTATTAGCTATGGAATATTTTACAATTAGCACACTTCAACAGTTAGCACACCAAATAGGACACTATTAGCTAGCTTATTGAGTGGTTGAGTTCAGCTCCAAGCCCCAAACCAAACAAAAATCTTGTATTAATTTTGTTACCACATAAGTAAAATACTCCATAAGCAACTGATCTTGTTGATGACCATGCTGGCATCATCCTCGATATCCAGAAGTTACGCTCACTTTCGCTCTCTGCACCCCTTGAATATGTCATAGCAAAATTGAAGACACAAATATAGCTGTACATCAATGATCAAACTAGCCTTCTCGTCTCATCTTCAAGGTGCTGCACACTGAGCCTTCGATTTTGCTATGACATAGTCCAGGCGTGCGTAAGTGAGAGTAACCCCTGGATATCGAGGATGTGAGCGTCACCCCTGGATATCAAGGATGTGAGCGTCACCCCTGGATATCGAGGATGTGAGCGTCACCCCTGGATATCGAGAATGTGAGCGTCACCCCTGGATATCGAGGATGTGAGCGTCACCCCTGGATATCGAG